GTCCAAATATTCCCCTCAGCATCGTGTTATTAAACACAATGTGTGGTCGTTCCTTAATGTGAGATAACAAATTGCACACCCATACAAAACAACAGGTAAAATTATATTATTTTTTTTGATTGCTGACAGGAAGGCAAAATATTCTGAACTGCATGGTAACAAGCTTTTCCTGAACGTAGTCTGCTCCTGAAACACTTTGCATCTTATAAGCTAATCCCAGTAAGAAGAGCTAATATCCTTCCCAGTCGAGGTTCGAACATGATACCTTCTAAACACAAAGTACAAGCGTCGTCAATTAGCTATTCCGAGGGGCTACAGGGGATTTTGAAACAAGACTTCATCCCGTGGTATCACATAAAACTGTACAAAAAATATCACTGGCTGGGTAAATTTTAAATCCGATCTAACTCAGACGCGAAGAGAAATATTTCTACTCCTGCAAGGAATCAAACTGTGGTCGTCTGTTATGCAGACCGTACTTACTTAACTAGCAATGGCTTCACATAGGTCATTAAGTAAATGCACTCCCAGACTTTTATTTAGCCAATGTACTTATGAAATTGCTTCCTGGTAACAGTCGTCAAAAGAATGACGGAAATAGCCAATGTAGGTGAGACTGTTGGCTCATGCTGTTTTAGAATCCGTTCAGGTCCAACATCTCGCAGCACTAAACATCATTTTATGCTATTACCAGTAGTAAACAAACAGCAATGTACAGAGTTTAGCGTGTTTAATTTTCCTATATTATTAACTCGCTTAGACACACTGACACAACAACACAGCGAAGTTCGAAAATGATCATAAATTAGATTGAATAAGCATTCGGAAAGAGAAGATCTTGATCAATTTGAAGGTCCTACTACAACATTCGTTTGAAGTAACTGGGTAAAACCACAAAATACTAATTAAGATACTCGAGTGTCATGGGGAGGTTTAGGGCAGTTTATTATTGCACAAGAGTGTACCTGCTTCTGATAGTTTTTTAAAGCACGGTGTGATTATTGTATGGTTTCGTTTTAAATGGTACATCCTGTAGTCACAAATAATTTTAAATAATTTATTTATTTATCTGGAATTTGAATTATCTCAAAAGAATAGTTTGATATTTCGGAACAAACGGGGAATATAAGATATTACAATTTAAATTGTGTGATATACAGAAAAATAACTAGGCTTCAGAAAATAAGAATAAAATAAAATAAATAAACAACGAGAAATAAAGAAATAATCTTATACATCACAAAAGTGATTCTGGTAATTCAACTGAGTTCTGACTAACGCAGCTACGTGACAATATATTGTGGTTAGACTTTATAAAGAACAGTACCGCACCGAACAGCCAAGTGTTCAATATTCCACGAGGGTCGCTGTGTATTAGTTTACATGAAATACGCTCGAAAGTAGAGCACATCGGATAAACTCTGGGGGGTGGGAAGGTCGGTCACTGAACCCGAGTCACTGCACATGCGCAGTCATAGGAAAAGTTGACGAGGAAAAGCGCCAAAGTACAAATGGGTCACAGATCACAACTGCACAAGATTCTTGACGTCACAACAGAAAAGATTGGGTACCAAGACGGAAACGCTGGCAGGTTGGTGGGATTTTGGTGTCGCCTTACGGAAAACCTGAAGGAAAGAGACCACGTGGAAGACTCAGGCGAAGACGACGTGTGCCTTTCCCTGTGGGATTGTATTTACGTGTTTCGTACGCTCCGTGTTCAAAGTAATTATTTCCTCACACAGCATTAACCAGCTGTTCTTTGTTATGGTTAAGTGTTGGTGTTTTCTTTGAGGTACGGACTTAACTTTAACGAACACGGTGATGAACCTTTGGATTCCCGTCTATTCACGGGTAATGTCCTGACTAGCTGGATGACTATCAGCGTCTAAGTAAAGTTTCTGCACCCTATGGTTGGTTAGCTAACTGCCTACTCAAAAGTTTGACGTCGAATTGGTAAATACTTGTGAATAATGAAATTTAGATGCAAAAAATAAAATCCATGAAAAAGCTATATGAGTAGCGAGTTTCAAATTAAAATCTGCAACTTCGCAAATTCAAAGCAGGAATATCAACTATTTATATGTGAGTGAGATTCTTCGACCAAAAATTCTGTATTTATTTCTCATTTCTATGTGTACTGACATTAGTTAATAGAAGGTATATTTTTCACTAATGACCCATTATCAGAATGTCAACTACAACTGGCTTTTGAAACACT